CAATTTTGTCACATATAAAAAAACACACATACACCTACTTACTTCTCTAGTCGTATTCGACTTTACGACTTGGGGATTTAATTCAAACTAATCTCGATAATGAATCGGTTGTAGAATGTTACGAGAGAACGGGAGATCGTTTTCAAGTAATCGTCAAGTGGGCGTGTTGTTTCTTAAGCCGTAATGTGAAAGCCATCGTGAACGCGGGAAGAATATCCGTTTCACTTTATTTTTCTCGACTCTCCGGCATCCTCGGTTTTATAGGCCCCGAACCCACGAACATTAAATCCCGAATTACTTTGATATTTTGTATTTATAATATCTCGTCGAAATATACATATATATATATATATATATATATATAAAGATTCGACGACGGGAGTTCTCGAACGATCTCACGGACAGACTCGCGCACAATGATTCGATCTGCGAATGGCTCTGCTTAAGCCACGTGTGCGCGTAGAAACCGGTAAAACTGTCTCTTCTTTAAAAAAAAAAAAAAAAAAAAAAACAAAAGTCATCTCTCACCATTCGCATAAAATCTATGTTAGTTTGTGCGAATATAACTCAAATAATTAACTGAGATAAGAACGCGAAGTGTGTAATCTACGCTCTCTATCGCGTGATTTACATTCTAAAGTGTTACAGAGCTGTCGATAAGACGTACAACTTCGGCACGAAGTCTTAACTGTACAAATGACAACGCGACACGCAATGAAAACGGGATAATCGACTTGTCGCGAGCTGAGGTTGAAAACGTTGTTATGATTATTGAACGTTTCAATATTTATATGACTCCGGGATCCGATAAAAATGACGCGCCGCAACTCAATTGGCGCGTCGTCGTCGTCGTCGTCTATACGCGAGCGATTCTCTCAGATAGATGAACGCTTTTAAAGAGGACCAATTATATCATGCGGGGAAACTTCAATTTGCATTTCGCTCCGGGTCCCGAGGAGAGATAAGATCTCGGTTTGCTCGCGATCGGTGGACGAGCGCGTTTCGAGACAATCTCCCGTAGCTGACTGGACAATTGTTCAACTCTGTGTAACCGGCCGTAACAATTGAGGTTCGGTTTTGAACAAAGCGCTCTATTAGGGCACACGCGCGCGCGCGAGCATTTTCCATGCCAAGGCGAGCGAGATCGGCAGCTCGCGGAGACAGATCGCGAACATTCGCATTGTATATTATATTATACCTCTCTCGGTGTTCTGTCGGCTAACAGAACAACCTGTCTCGCAAAAATTCGATGTCTCCGCGGGCATCAACAATAACGCGCGTTTCGTGATATCGAACCGTGATATCGCCTTGACAAATCGAGCGAGAAGCGCGAACGAAAAAATAACGCGTGCACGCGCGGATACATTTCAAACGCGGCCGCTTGATAGCTACAAAGCTTACACGGAGGAAAACACCGATTCGACATAGATAAATCTTGCTTACAACACACATATCGAACGCGCGTATCGGCAATTAGCGAATTGTCGATTGTCGAAAGGAGTTATATCGAGCAACGCGAAGTTTTTGTTGTTTCGGATATTCGACGTTCTATCTCGCGTCTGAAATCGCAAAAACGCGAGCGCATTTCGTCCAATTTCTTTCGAATCTTGTGAGAACAAAAGTTCGCGTTCAGTCAGTTTTTTTTTTTTTTTTTTTTTCACGTACCATTTCGATCGCGCGACGACGATTCGCGCGTGAAAATCGTCGTCTGTGTTTTTGACGCGGAAAATTACGATATCTTCGCTTGCGAGCGCGCGGCGAAATTTACATGCAAATTGCCACGCACAAAATGAATATGCCCCGTGCTTTAAAGGATTTCATTTTGAACATTTACGAGCCTCTAACACACCGAAACGGTCGTAAGAACATCAAGAGAATACAGAGACGTACGTAACTCAACGACGATCGTTGAAGAGCGCGCGCGAGAAACAAGCGAAGAAGATTTACGACAAAGGGAAAATATACCTTCTCTATCTCGTCAGCTGCGCGTGCACATTTCGACGCAAACGAATATGAGCGAGAGGGTTCGCGCGCGCGCGCGCGCACGAGTCATCTTTTCGCAAGGGTTACCAACAACTTGCTCTTCTTTGTGACGCAGAGCGTAAAGGATTTTAACTCTTTTGCGTGCTTCGGAGGGGATGGTTGACTTCGCCCGGTAAGGAACAACTTCGCTTTGACAACTTTTAGCAATATAAAAAGTAAACGCGCTTCTGTCGTTGTTTTTTTTTTTTTTTTCGTCGCTACAGAGACGCGTTCTTTGCGCGGGAAAAATCAAAGATAGAGGAGGAGAATTGTTTTTTTTTTTTTTTCCCCTAAAATGTACTAAACGCATATCGCTTATTTGCGCGCGCAATTGACGCGACGCTATTTACGATTTGAGAGCTTCGTGGAGGATATATTTACCGGATATGTAAAGAGATATTGTTGTATATATAATAATCACTCCACGTGTGCACGCCAGATAACGATTTGTCACCGTGGGCTTTTTAATATCGCTCATTATTTTTAATCGACAGATTTATTATCGCGCAACGATATATATCTTCTACAAGTTGCAACGCGTGTGCGTATCGTTAAATATCTGTACGCAATTGAGAATTCTAAGAACGAGAGAAGGTATCTTCCTCCCTCCCCCTCCCCGCACCGCGCGCGTATCTTTCGCGGTAAAACGTTTTACGACATTCGGCGGTGCTATAAATCGTGGAGCGCGGTGCGCGATTTATGCATCGATATCGATGCACTTAAGGTATACAAATGTGCCCTTAATTGGGGATTGTCTCTTCTCTTCCGCGTGTACCTTCCTCTCGCGCGTGCTATATAAAAACCGGCGCTTCCACGCACCCAAATCACTGATGACAGGCACTCCTTTAAAGTCCAAAAATATGGCCGCTATATATAAAAAAAAAAAAAAAAAATTATCACTGTCACAAGTCCCGTATGTGTGCGACGCGTGGGGAAAACGTGATTTCGTGACCACCGCGTACTGTTCCGCGGTCGAACGCGGTCGAATGCTGCGGCAGGTGCATCGAAGATTGCCGTTTACGCGTGTATTTAACGCGCGTACACATTTAAGATACAAAGAGAAACACCGTAGGAGAAAAGGACCGTGAAAATGAGACAAGGTGCGTCGGCACGGCGATAAGCGAAAAAGATCTCGACGTCACATTTTTGACGTCTTAATTTTCTGCCGTCCGTTTAATAATAAACCCGATTGCGAGCACATTGGCGCGCATCTAGGGTATCCGCGTACGTATAATGGAGGATAATAACACACGAGCCGCGGTGATTCGTTCCAGTGACCCGTTAGATCTCCGAGAAATTCCCCGAGTTGTATTAGCGCAATTAAGTGCTTTGATTAACAATTTATTGCGCCGGAATTGTAATCGCGCGACGAAGAAGATAAATCGCGCGGGTTCTGTCATATCGTCCGGGTTCTGTTTGCAACAAAATCGGGTTAAGATCCCATAATTCTCGGCTAGACCGTCCGCTTGTTCGAAACATTTCTTGCGACCGTCTCGTACTTTCAGATTGTTATCAGAAAGTGTCTCACCGCGAAAAGATACAACGTATCGCGCCGCGACGATATACACGCGCGCGTCCGTGATACAAGTAAGTCAATAAAAGAATATAAGCGATAGAGTACGCACACACACACACACACACGAACACGCACAGGTTCTTTTCGAAGAAAGACAACGCGCCAAACAGAGGCAACTTTCCAACTGATTGACACGATTGTCAGGTGATTTCTTTTCTCGTTTATTAGCGCCCAAGATCGGAGAAAAATAAACGCGCGATCCAAAGGAGAAAAAGTCGCGGACGTGTCGCGATGTGCGTGTCACGAGCGCGCGCAATCTCTCGTCGACAATTGTTCCGTGCGCGCGCGCGCGCGCGCGCAATCGTTTGAATTTTCTTGCACCTTTAATTAAAATAACGCGGCGTCCTATTACGGGCAAGATCTACCAAAACGAGAAACAAGTGTTTCTGAGAAAGAGATACGACGGAGAGATTTGGCGCGTGGCATTCCGCGGTGTTTTCAAAACCAATCTTCGGGGCAATACAACGTTTGTCGAAATGAAAGGCATTCACGCGGCATTGTCGAATCGACATCAGGTCCGCGTGAAACAAAAACAGTGAGTTTTGCTACTTCCAACCGGAGACTCAACCGCTCAGTTTTCACGTGATCACGTGCCGCGTGATACAATTGGTCGCGTCGGACCAATAGTATCTTGTTCACGATGTTTACACAAAAGCCGAACAATTGTTAGCCGAAATTTGACAACTGAAGAATTTACCGTTTCACGTGAAAACCCGACCCCGTGCGGTTATTTGTCTGAGAATTCTCGTCGTGAGAATTCAGGTCTCCCGCGGTCACAATTACGCGCGAGACCCGCGAAGAGATCTCGAATCCGTTGCGATCTCGCGCGAACGTAGGGACGCTCTCTCTCTCATTCAAAATTGAAACTCTCCCAACATCTCCCACTAACTAATTGACAGTTTTGCGATAGTCGCCTTCTGAATATAATTCTACGCGCGCGCACGAATCCAGATACATCTCCTACGACGTAGTGAACTCGAAAATTCCTTATTAAACGTCTGCGAGAGATTAATTTCTCCGTTTGTACAACACCCCCCCATCTTCCGCGGGAGTATCGTGTCTTCGAAACGACGTGTGGATACCACGTTAAACGTTATGAGATACGTAATATTACCATTCACGTGTGAGAGGAAAATCGCGTAGGCAATGATCTCGTTCGCAAGAAATGGAACTAAAATATATATATATATATATACGCGCGCGCAACACATCTTGCGTAGTTCGCGACGAAGAGAAAACTCTATGGGAATGCGGAGAGAGATTCTCTTCGCGCGGAATGTAATTTTGTCAAAAAAAAGAAAAACAAAAAAAAAACAAAAAAAAAACAAAAAAGAAAAACATGAGAACAAGATTGTAAAACACCATTTTGTTCTCGGAAATAACATAAAACATTGCGACTTACCGTCGGTATCAACTGGCTACTTCCGAGCAAGCAAAATGACGTCCGTCATGCGAGTCACTCGTCATCACGATTATTATACTCGTTCGCCGGCTCGCAATAGCTGTGTTTCTTTCTTACGATGGCACCTGACACGAGGGGTTTAAGGACTACTTCACTTCTCGTCGCGCGTCAAGGTGTTTCACCTACACCACTGCTGCTCTCTACGTTTCTTTATCAGACGGCAAATAATCTCGCACTAATCACGGCGCGCGGCCCACAAGAAAGCCGGACAAGCCGGATGAATTTTTTTTTTTTTATTTTTTTTCACGGTGCACCATACATACTCACGTTTACAACTAATTGAGCAATCATCATCATCGAGATCACATAGATCGCGCAATAATCGAGTTGTTTCGCATCTTGTATCGAAAAACAACGGCGCGGCAAAACTGCAAGAGAGAGAGAGAAACTTGCGGATGACTCTCTCGATCTCACTCGGGAAGAACGAAGCGTAAAACAAATAAGTAATAGAAGAATCAGATGATATGATGAATTTTTACTGATCACACACTGCAAAAAAAAACCAACAGAAGAAGAGAGATTCCAAAATTGAGGGGGGAAAGGGGGGTAACGTTTTTTCACCGAGATACAAGAAAACAAAACGCTTGTTTCGACGGTCGTCAAAGTCGGTAATAGTGGTAGTATCACAACACACACACAGGCAAGGTTAGCACCAAATATTTTTTTTTTTTTTTTTATTTTTTCTTTCGGACAGGCCTTCGATTCGATAATCTTTCTTTGAGACGAGCAATATCGACGACGAGTCAGTGCTTATCGAATTGGCTCGATCGTTGGCACCTCTCAGTTCTATAAAGGGACGCAACGATTAACAAACAAGGCGGAATCATGTAAGAGAGGAGAGAGGTTTGACGTTCCAGAACAATTAACCCCAAAGTCTAATCGCTTTAATTAAGCGTCACCTATGGTACACGTCCGATCTACCTCGCCCTTCTCGTCCGTCGAGATTCGGAGCCTTCCCCGCTTTCTCCCCGTCATCGGGTCCTCTTGATCCTGATCTATTCCCTCGTGATCGATTACTTCCGATCGGCGTGTCGTGAAGAATCACTCACATCGTAAATCCATAAATCTTAAATCTCGATCGATGACGAATACCTTAGATTGTGATCATCGTCGCGTTAAACTTTATAACGAGACGATCTTTAACAATTCCACTTCTTCGCCAGCGGTTCTTACACACTATTTATAGAGATATATAAGATCTCTTTTTCTCTCTCCCCCTCCCTCTCTCTCTCTCTCTCTCTCTCTGTCTCTCTGTCTCTCTATCTCTTTTAAAAGGTAGATTTATTTATGAATGATTCTTCAGTGATTCAATCGCGATTACGAAACTGATAATGACGATGACGACATCGATTCACGGGTGTACGATGGGTATCCCACGTGCTCGCACTGTACTATCTCGTGCACGTCTCGTCGTTAAATAACGCGGTATCACACATCCCATCGTCCCTTCGACCCTATGCGGATCTGCGTGTCGGCCGCTTAGGGACGCGGCGAATCCCTCGTCCCGTTGACGCAGTTTCGCACATGTCCGAACGTTTTCTCTCCTTCGGATCTGGACACCGGCGCGTGATGCGTGATCGAGCAATTCGGGCGGGGGGGGAGGGACGGGCCCCGATCGGAAGAATTTTCTGGCCCCCGGGTCACCGTCGCGGGTACCACACAAGCGTCGACGCGAAACGTTCACGGCACACGTTCAGGCGGCGGAAACGGGCGCGGACGAACAGCCACGAACGATGACAATGATAATGATATAACAATAGCGTGCGTTCTCCGCTGGTTCAGATCTTACACTGAAGACCAAGGTACACATACACATGTGTGTCGACCGGGCCGGCAGGTAGAAGAAGGAGGTAGAGACCGAGAGAGGTAGGAGGAGGTGGAGTGTGGCTCCGGCGGGAGGGGAGTCCCGCGCTCTCTTGTGTGCACTGGCCGCGCACACAATCGCGAGCGGTACCGCAGACGCGTGTGTGCGTGTGTTCTTTCCTCTTTCTTTCTCTTTGGGATCTTTTCTTAATACACGCACACAACACACGCGCACGCATGTGTGCGCGCGTGTGTGTACAGCGTGTGTACTTATACGCGCTCTCACATAACTCGCACAGCTTCGCGTTCACAAGAGCGGAATCGGGAGAGCACTCTCGCGCGTTTACGCACCTGTATGCGTAGGATGCTGGCCTGTACGCGCGGGCCCCTTGTACGCGCGCGAGAGAGTGCTCTCTCTCTCTCTCTCTTTTTCTCAAAGTGTGTTCGCCGTTACGTCGCACCGGGCCGCGCAATATATATATATATATATATATATACGTACGTGCGTGAGCACGTGTGAGAGAGCCGTGTGTCTACACACGAGGAGACAACGCCATGCCGTTTCGCACACAGGTTTGCTCGTCGTCTCGAGGCCCCCGAGAACCTCGCCTCGTCCCGCTCACGCGCCACGGCACCTCGCTTCACTTACATACGATACGATACGGGCCACAAGGCAGGCAGGTAGCGCACAAAACTAAAGAGACTCAAGAGAAACGGGCAGGGGAAGGGGGGAGGGAGAGCGAGACAGTGACGGTGAGAGATCAAGAGGGATGAGGTAGAGCGAAAGAGACAAACACAACACGCGGACCTGGGAGGAGGGAGGATACCGGAGAAAAAGAGAGAGAGAGAGAGAGTGAGAGAGGGAGGGAGAAAAGAGGGAGTCAGGACTAACCACTGGCGAGGAGGAGGCAAGAGAAGACAGCGAGAGCAGCGTGAAAGAAGAGACGAAAGGAGAAACAACCTGCGATCATGGAGGGGTGTCCGTTGCTGCTTCTGCTTACTCCCGATGCTGCTGCCGACGCTGCTGCCGTTGCTGTTTAAGCCGCGGATACGCGCGCTTTAACGCAGTCGTGCGGGCAATCGTCTCCCTGCTCCTACCTGTGCTACCTACCTGCCTGATATTGTGCTACCTTGGATGAAAAGTCATTTAGGCCATGATGACGGATTATTCGCGAATGTGATGATGTATAATCGTCAGTCACATTTCCCCCGGTGAAACAATGTCGCACGATTGAAATAACGGAAACAGCACAATACACGCGTGTATTGTTGTTCGCTGGTAATCTCGAGTATATATTTTCTGTTTCTTTTTTGAAAAGTACGTAAATATGTTTTTTGAGCAAAGATTGAGTAGATTTTTAATACAGAGTAGATTTTTTAAACAAAATGCTATCGATTTAATTTAACAAAATTAGTAAAAAAAAAACCAAGAGTATTCGTATAACACATATTAACGTTTATTTGCCCCAGAGATAAGAAAAATAAAAAACTCCGTTAGGATTAAGTATAAATTATGAGATGTTGATGTTACATAAAAAAAAAAACTTAAAAAAAACGATGATATAGCTGTAAGAAAATCAGGCAGAGATAGCATCGTGTATACTCTCAGATCGGCCTATCTGTCCCGCCTTCGCCCACGTACCTCACCTGTCAGCTCCTCTTATCTCCGACAATCCGTTCATCCGTCTTTCGAAGCCGCCTTTCTCTTTCTCATTATTGCTCGTTTTTTATGCTTCACTCGTATATATATATATTGTTTTTGTTTCCTCATCTCGCGACGGAGGAATCTCAAGAGACAAACATATTTATTGGAGACATATTCAATTGTTGTAAAAACAGTTACAATAATAATAAGTCGAGGACGTTGGATTACATTTTGCGATACCGATACAATTTTCTCTGAACTGTGGAAGTCACGGGGAAAAATATTTCAACAAATCGTCAAACATTTCTCGACATAATGTGCCACAAGAACATGTGTCGACAATAGCATTATCGTCACATAAATCGAATTACTCAACGTCAAAAAACATTACACAACTGTATTTGCTCACGTCGATTATGCCAAAGTGATTTGTTTGCACGCAATTTAGTACATCTGTGCGCGCGGCGGCGGCCTTCGCCGAGGTAATTCGCGTATTCGAAACGCGCGCGCGCGAAATCGCACGCGGAAAGTTACACGGAGGACGCCTCTCTTTCTTTTCCAGGATCGGTTCGCCATTAACGTGAGTGCGATTTGCATGGGCTTCGCGAAAAGAGAGATCATGAGAGAGAGAGAGAGAGAAAAAGGGAGGAACGCGCGGAGCAGGAGGTCTTTGATTTATCGTTTCTGCTGCCGCCCTTCTTCGACGTCTCATGCGGCGCGCGATCTGTTGCGCCATGTTGCGTTCCAATTTTGAGTTCTACCGGCGCATAATGAATCGGTATGCAAATCCTCGAATAAGGATCATAACTCATTCGTGCGATATCGTGTTCTCACACGCGGTCAATCGGGCATGCTTCACGGGACCCGACACGACACGGCGCGGGCGCGGCGACGCGGGGCGACGACGCTACGCGACCGCGACTCGCTGTTAGCCAGACCGTACGAAGAAGATAAGAGGAGGCACCCGAAGGCACACCGGCCGCGGCAATTACAACCGCGCGCATACGTGTATATATATATATATATATATACGCGTGCGTGTGTGTGCGCGTGCGCGTCGCGACGATATTCCGATGTGTACAAAGACGCGGAGGATTAAAAAAAAAAAAAAAAGAGAGAGAGAGAGAGAAAACGTCCCAGTCAAACTGACATGAAATATGTGACCGAGAGTCGCGTAAAAATATCGGCCCACCACCGTCCCTGTTAAACGTCCACCGTACGGTCGTGAAGCCCACTCACGACCGGATTTTCTAACTGCGCGTTGTTGTGTCCTTTGCAAGTTTTCTTCTCTATCTCCTCCGTTATGGATTTCCCGTCAAACGATTGACGAGCAGATTTATGTATCGCGGATTAGAGATATTGCCACGAGCGAACGCGCAAGTGTTGAAACGTGCAGAAGCGGAAAAAGCATCGCGAAAGAACGGAGAAGGTTTCTGCCGGGATCGGTTTTTTTTTGGATTTTGTTTTGCATGCGGGACGACACTTATCTTAGCGAAGGAAAGCGCGCGGCAACTTATTTCGACGCGATTGCGTTGGAAAAGGTTCGATCGCCCAGGCGATAAGGAAACACAGAGCGTGCACAGAGGAAGATTAGAAGATACAAACCAGTATATAATCTTTAGCGAGCGACGTGCGAGATGACATACGCCGCGAAGCAACTCATTCGTCCACACCGAGGAAGGACACTCCGAGGGGAATAGCAGCACTGCGGTAAGATTGAAATATACGTTTCGCGTTCTCGGAGGGGAGGGAGGGAGTCAGATTTATCGCGTGCCTCTCGGACATTAACGGCCCAAAGTGTCAAGGGCGACTGAGCTTGTTACGGCACGGATGCTCCGGCTCTATCAGTCGCCCGAACATTGACGGGAACCTGCGAGAAAGAGACGCGGATAGACAGATTGAAAGCAGCAAAGAGAGAACTACGGGGTTGAGCAGAGGGAGCGAGGCAGAGGGATATACATCCGCGTAAGAGAGACGGCAAGAGAGCACTGCGGGCGGATGGGTGAGAGGGGGGTAAAGGGAACGGACGAGAGGCGAGTAAGGGTTTCGTTCGAAAAGCAGGGTACCCGTGTCCATTGACCGTAGGTACGCCAGTGTCGACCGCATCGATAATTCGATAAAGTGTCCTCACATTACCCTATTGATTGCTCCATTGTCCCCGCGACGCTTCTCGGCGATGGCTTCATCGAGGCTTTCAGCCCTTGGTCCGATGCTTTGGTCCCACTTCCTTAGTCTCGCCGCCGTCGGGCGGCCGTCTGTGTGTAACGCGCGACGTGGTGTAACGACTGAATTCTCCTTTCGCGATTGATTAAACGCGACCGGTCCCCCCTTGGCCGAACATTGTTCGCGCGTCAAATATAGCGCCTTGAAAATAAACACGTGAAGTAAAGTCACTCCCGTCTCACAACGTTGTATTCGCTCCGTATTTCGTCGTGAAAAAAATTTGAAAGAGATAAGTGATGACGCGGGACGAGTGGTTTGATGTTTAGAGTATTCGCACGCACGTGAGATGCGCGTAATTGTGGATCGCACTCGAATTAATAACCGACGAGAACTGAGCGATCGCGTTTTTTTTTTTTTTTTTTTTTTTGGTTTTTTTACATTGTCGCGTGGATCGCTTTCGGACGGAGATCCTTCGATGGCCCGATGCACACGGAGGCGAGCTCGTGTGTATACGTATCTGGTTCCTAAACTTCATATATCAACGCGCGAGAGCCACGCGAGCGTACGCGGTCGGATCTCTCCGGTGAAATCGGCGATCGATTATACGACGAAAGAAAGAAAGAAGCGAAGAAGGACAGAGAGGCGAGAGAGGAGAAGAGGGATCCGGACCTTTGCTGCATGCCTGAATCCTAATTGAATCGTCAGGAGCGGCCGAGTACCGGCCCTCCGGAGATACCGACTGCTGACATCAAGAATGTGACAGATAGTCGGACATTCTATCCCTTCCCGAAAATACCCTTGGCATCGCGATTTCCATTTATCTGCCGATACCATCGCTGCTCAACATGCGCCCTCGTTAAACAATTATACACACGCGCTGACTGATTAAAATACACGTACGCTCAGACTACTTCGCGTACACATGTTACGCACATATGTATATATAAGTGTTGATATAAAACAAGCTCTTATAAATGTTTTTTTTTTCTTTTTTTTTTTTTTACAAAGTTCCTCTCAGAGAAAGGACACTAGACATCACGAAAAAACCGCGTAAAGAATTTCCGACGCGTTAATGAGTCGCTCGTGCAAACACTTCTTTGTTGCACGATCTTTTTTTTTTTTTTTTTTTTTTTAATGGAGTTT